CTGAGAGGAGCTGTCTCAGGAAACCAAATTCAGTAAAAATCCTTAGACGAAAAGAGAGAGAGAGAGAGTCCTGCGCTGCCTTCTCCGGGTGCCCGATCGGACTATTCCAGTCCTGCACAATGGCCAGGGCAGCAGTGGGCCACCCGCCGTGTGTGAGTGTGTTAGCATGTGAGTGTCAGTGCGCGGTGTCGGTGCCTGCCGGTGTGTGCGTGACGGTGCGCGCGTGCCGGGCTGTACGCGCGCCGTGGTGCGCGCGCCGGCCGGGGCAGCGGGAGGGCCCACGCGACTCTGGGCGCGGGCGCGGGCCGCAGCGGGGGGCTCGCTCTGCCCTGCACCTCAGACGAGTCTCTGGCCCTGGCAGCCCGTCCGGTTCTGGGCTCTGGACTCAGCGCAGCCAAGAGGGCTCGGCTATGACTTTGTGACCTTATCATTCCCTTCCTCCCCAATTTTCTCGCGCCCCAAAGAGGTGCAGCATTTCTCCCACCCTCTTTGGAAGCGACAGAGCGGGGCCTGCAGGGAGGGCGCCGCGGGGGACAGTTACTGGAGCTCGCCGGCCGCCAAGGCGCTGCAGCGCGGGGGGAGAGGACTCGCGGCCAGGAAATCAGCGGGCGCCCCGGGAGTCTCCCAGGGGTCCCGCGGGGAGACCTTTCCCGCTTTCGGCAGCTAGGGCGCAGCTTTCCGGACGCTAAGTCCAGGCTAGTCGGGGTACCAGAACTAGCCGGGGCGCGTGCTCTCCGGCCATGGAGCGTCCTGCCGGACCAAGGTCCGGGTGCCCTGCAGCCTCTCCACTGCCTGCGGCCAAGCCGGGCGACCTGAAGTCCCCCAGTCAGCAGCGCAGGGTCCGCCCGAGGCACCCGACTGAGGGCGGAAGACCCGTGAGGCAGGAAGGGAAGGAGAAAAGAGGTAGCGAGCCCCAGACAAGGAATCCTTAATTACAGATTAAAGGCAAGCAAAACCATCCACCACATTTTCCATGTGTCAGCTGACGACCGCGACAAAAGGAAACACAGAACGCTGGCGGGGGAGGAAGCTCCTTCTCGTCATTTATTCTTTCCTTTCCTCTTTTGTATCTTTGCAAATGTAAAATGCATTAGGTAGTGACTCTAGGTAGGTGGTGCCTGGGGCCAAATCGCAGCTGCACACTCCGCTCCGTCGAGTAGGAGGACAGTTTGCTGATGCACCCAAAGGTCTGGGGAACCTCTACTAAAAAAGAGCTATAAATACTCCATTTGAGCACATTTCGCTTCTGAAAAACTTCATTACTTATACACTTTTAAAAGTTTGGTCCTGAAAGTGTTTCAATTCATTACCTTCAGTAAAACCCTATATCGTGTGCGCGTGCGCGAACCCACCACCCCCTCTTAGTTTTGCAATTTTGTAGATTTCATTTGTTCTGGCTTGGTCTCAGCATTAGAAATCCAGGGGAAAAGCCAGGCGGACTGAAAGCAGGGGACATACCGCAAGCACTGGAGAGCACAAATTCACCCCAGAGGTCTTCGGCTCAAGAGGAAAAAGGAGACAGACGTGTTTTATGCATTTCCTCTTATTATAATCACAAAACAAACACTTTGATCATCTCAATTCCAGTGTCCTAAATCCTCCACAGAGGGTAGGAGAGTGTTCAGAAGCCGAAGCCATTACAAACCTCTAGTTCTGTGCCCTGGTTTCTAACCCTGAAACTAGAGATGACCTTTGTGAGTCACCCTGAGCCCCCAAAGCCTCGCAGTCTTCTGTATATTCTCCAGCTTGTTGCTGGACCAACTTTAGAAATAGAGGATTTCGGTTCGTTGTTGGTAATCTGTCTACTGATACAATCAATGCACCACTTTGAAGGCAATAAGGCCACTTGACGTCACTTTTCCAATCTTCCTTTTTGTAGATATAGATGTACTTTCATTTGCATTTTTTCACCAATGCCATTTCCACAGAGCACTAAAAAAAAAAAATTGTCGAAATGCTTTTTCATGTGGTTGAAGTTAAGTGATTTGCCCACACCCCAAATAATGCTATTTACATTCAAGATTAATAGCTGCATATCAATAATTCTTAAATACCTCCTGATCCGTGTTCTCAAATTGAAACAATTCCTAATGCTATTGGCCTGGCAAATGCAGGAGCCAATACATTTGTGGACTGGTTGCCAGCCAGATGACAGCTCTCAGGCACTAAGAACAGGATTATTTCTGCTCTGGTCTGTTCAGGTGTTGAAAGAAGAGTGCTCCCCACCTCCCCCAGAAGCGGTTAATAAATAGATGCAAATCATGCCAGGTCCCAAGCCCGCCCCTGCCTTCAGATACACATTTAGGAGAAACTTGAAAATCTCCCGTGAAGTATCTAGTCCTTCTGTGATTTAACCACACCCTTCCCCCCCTTTTTAACTTTATCCTTCAGTAAAATAAATAAGGTGAAAGAGCGAATTAGGAGTTTGTCTTTCCTTTTAGCTTTTCCAGGGTTTGCGGTGGTTTCAGGCCAGTTGTTGTTAGTTCGTGTTTTTACCACCCACCAAAGAACAGCACAGGATTAAGTTTATATTAATAAAGGATGTTCATGACTAGGTTTCTAAATGCCAGAGTTATGATTTATTTTTTTAATGGGTGGAGAAAGGAGAGCAGCAATAAAACTCACCCTTAAGTCCCTCAAAATCCTTGGCTTCACAACATCATTTTTTTGGCCTTTTTGTTTTTTGTGTGTACCTCTAATTTTCCTTTAACTTCTATTATTATGGCTAATTATTTTTTACTATATACCTTTGTCCATCTCTCCCAAACCTTGTGTTTATTAAATTTATAAAAATGTATTATATGTTCTTCTTTCTACTTTCTAAGTGTTTGTAATTATCCCAATTTATCCCCCCACCCCATTAAGAATTTCACAATAAAATCCTACATCAAATAAATTAAACTCTGCAACTTCAGACACCCAAGGAAGGCATTAATTCACTCAGTAAAATACCCAGACCTCCCCCTCTCATTTTCAGCTCTTCTTAATGTAACATTTAGTAATTGCAGCTGGCTCCTTACACTTTCCTCCCTTCTTTCATTCTGAATCACATTGGCCTTGTTTAACCTTCATTTCCTCTCCTACCCCCCCCCCTTTGTCCACATACTTTTTTTTTTTACCATGTTTGTCTCTTTTTGCTGTCTGGAATGAAAGCAATAAATAGAGCTTCTAAGATCTTAATGCTTTGTGTTAAAATCCCATTCCACCTCCCCATCCCACCATTACTGCTTGGTGCAATTTTTTATGTACCCTTCGGTTGTGTAGTTACTGCTCTACGTTTTTCTGATGGATCATTAAGGACTGCTGGCTGTTGAGCCCGGCCTCCATAGTCCTGAAGCAGAGGCTTTTTCCTTGGCTTGCTCTTTGCCTGTGGAATGCCTTTCCTGGCAAGGACAGGCATTTTGGTTTGACTATGATTCTTATGTTACAATTCAAGGCTAATTTGTTCAGTTAGGTTTCTACTATAAGCAGCTCTGTTTCTCACTGTTAAGTGCTCCGTGAAACTGCTTAGTTGAAGGGTTTGTTGTAAGTGCAAGATGTAATACGCTTATATTGTACTTGATTATCAGTTTTCAAAAACAGCTGCATGCTTTGATATCTGTGTAAGGAAATATCAGAAGATAATATAGCATTGGTATTTATTACTCTATAATTAAGGATGTGTCAGTGTTTCCCTTTAAAAACCCCATATTTTCAGAAATTCATATCTCAGGCATAAATTTCCCTATGAATTACAGTCTAATACCACATTAGAAGTATCTTCTTTTTAAGTTACCCCTCCCCTTCCTTTTCTTTTCAGGCAAGTAAGTTTCGGGATGTAATTTCTGGGTTATCGGTGTGGGAGGAGAGGGAACAGGTCCTGTGCTGTGAAATTAAAGGTGCTTCTGCTGCTGCCGCCACCTGCTCCCTCTGCCCTAGGCCCCTACACCAGGCAAGACTGTGAGGGCCGCTTTATTCCTAAGTCGAAAGAGCCAGCCTATTCCTACGTGGATAAACAGCTTCATTTTGCCACATGATAAGAAAGGCAATAAAGACTCAGCTGTTCAGAAATATCACAGGTGCCACAGAGCCTGAAATTTTAGTACCAGGAATCAATTCTTTTGCATTCTCCTTCTTATGGTCACTTAGAATATAAGTGCAACCAGGAGTAACATGAACTGTATCTACAGTAAGGTACTAGCAACTAATTAATCCATGTTTCTTCTAATAGTAAGAGAAGCAGCAGGAGGCAACAAGAGAAGATGGAAATATTTTCCTCTTTCTCCCCCTTTAAGGGATGGCTTTGACCAACTGAATTGACCACAGCCTCCTTAAAGAGTCCTGGGTTCTAGACCTGCCTCTACCCCCACGGGGTCCCACAGGAATGCAGCTTTAGTTTCCCCGTATGTATAACGTGAGTGTTAAAAGACACAAATGCTTACCAGAAGAGCCAGGTAAGTTACCTAAGTGTATAAACCAGCAGATTGAAAGATTACAGGAAGCGGTTTAATAATAGTCCTAAAAACACTTCAAATGTTGGCAACCTTACATGGTCTCTTGTGGCCCCTTCAACCGAAGCAGGCAATGAGATAACCCCTTGCTGCTCTTTCCCACCCTCTTGCTTGGTGGGAGGAGAAACAGAAGGAAACTAGGGGTCCCACCGAGTCACGAACTCTGAACCTGGTGCTTCCTGAAAGACACGCGACGATGACATTATCTCATGCAGGGAAAGGTTCATACAAAACATCTTTGTGTCTGTAACACATTGTGGCTCCTCATATGCTATTATCTAATGCCTTAATTTCCTCGTTTGTGAAAGTAATAATGGAAATGTTAAAGGACTTCAAATTCCAAGGGATGTGTCATGGAACTATTCTTAGTCGCAGTTGCATCTTCTAGCACCCCACCTCGAGTCTGCCAAATAAAGGCGATAACTGACAGAACAGCAAGAGAAGCATTTTAGATTATCTCCCATGAAATATCAATTCTTTTTTTAAAATATATTTTATTGATTATGCCATTACAGTTGTTCTATTCCCCCCTTCATTCCCCTCCACCCAGACACATGGAAATATCAGTTCTTTACATCGGTTTATAAGAACAGTTATGAACCTGTCCTGGGGTTGACCATCGTTACCACAGAGCCATGGGAGGGAATACAGCATCAATCAGGCAATGACAGACAATGGGAGGACCCCTGAGGACACCGATCCCCAATTCCGATGTAGGGAAATGGGCCACAGGGTGAGTGGGGATCTTGGTTCTTGGAATCCCGTGGACCGCATGTGCAGCTAGGGCATCCTGAAGATCCGAGGGAGGAGTCACTTTCATGAGATGGACTGCAACATACAGAGCCCACCCTTGGCTCCTGTGTCTTCAAGAGGAAAAGGGACAGGTAACAAATACAGGAAGTGGGCAGAGTGGGTAGGACAGCAGGCAGTTCTGTGCTCTACCACACAGGAAGTGGACAGGAAAAGGACAGGTAACAATACAGGAAGTGGGCAGAGTGGGTAGGTCATCAGGCAGTTCTGCGCTCTACCACACAGCTCTGAATTTGTCAAGGTAGGAAGACCAGTTCATTTAACATTTTCCTGGAGGTGGCTATTTCCCATTAGATATCTTGAAATATCTAATACAAGATATTTCCCATCTTGCATTAGAAACAATCAGGCATTAGTTACAAATGGTGATCAGAAGCTCTGGGGGAAAAGGAACCCACGCACAGTCAGGTTCAACTTCAGAGTACGATTTCTTTGATTTCTTTCAGGGTCAAGGTTAGGTGCTTGCCTCCTGGGAAGCAGAGGAGTCTTGTCATGCAAAAGTGGCAGTTAGGGCACTTTCTTTAACAGTCCAAGGAAAAATGGCTCTCTGATTTGACCAATAGTTTAGAGTCAAGAAATGTGAAGGACAGCATGGTAGTAAAATTAACCACAGGCTTCCCAAAGTACTGATAGTTCTGATGAAAAGGCATATCCAGAGTAACACTTCAGACATGTAAAAAGACAGAGAGAGTAGGAAAAAGCCCACGTGTACTATGGCCCAGCCTAAGAAATAGACCGTTACCTGTACCATGAATATACCTCTACCAGTTACATGTCGGTTCTTTCCCCCATTGCTCCTCTGACTTAACTATCATTGCATTGTTGGTGTTGGTGCATGTTTTCTGGTTATACTTTAATCACATACGTGCACATCTTTGAGCAGCACATAGAATTGTTTGCATGTTTTAAAACTTTTCCAGTTACATGTTAATGAATAATTTTAAGGGCGGGCAGATTATGGAAACAATAGTTGTCCTGCATGTCAATTCAAATTTTAAAATGAAACATGCTCATGCCAGTGGTTTATAATATATTCTCTCTGTTGTTAAATATAAAATCTGATATTAAATCCCACTCAATTTGCCACCGAAACAGAAAGGCACTTAGGGCTATACTTGTCAGCAGTCAATAGAGGAACGAGACTCAGAGGATATGTCAACATTAAAAGACGGCACAGACTATCATTTGAAAACTGATTCTATCACCCACAGAAAGTATGAAACTTAAATGAAATTTTTTTGTGTCTCATAATATTTCTGGGTAGCAGATGCTTTCTCAAAAACAGATTTTTTCTCTTAAAAATATCAAATATAATTAACACCTTCAACATAAAATGAAATCTTTGCTTCCAGATGCATTTCAAGGTGTTGAAATGAATCTTTGCAGCACTCCACGGCTGAGAGCCCCACTGGCTGGCTGAGCCTGCTGCCATCTTCACGGGAGCAACCGAAGAGCTGGAGCGAGGGCAGGGCGCTTACACTTGACTGTGTCTGAAGGGAGCTGATCGAAACAGCAGCGTCTTAAGAAAGGTCTCCGGGCCTCTTCCCGATCAACATGGCATATAATGAGCAGGTTAAGAACTAGGTGCCCTGCCGCTTTATTATAGAAACACCTAGCTAGAGCATTACCTCGATTAAGTAAATTCAGGGCAAGCATCATGGACATTGTGTCTTGACAAATATGGAGATATTTATCAAGTATGGAGATATTTATCAAGTATAAAGATTAAAAAATTCTTGTTTTTTAAAACTATTGATGCTTTATTTTTTAAAAATTTTATTTATTTTATTTTTAGACAGAGAGGAAGGGAGGGAGGGACATCAATATGTGTTTGCCTCCTGTGTGTCCCCTACTGGGGACCTGACCTGAAACCCAGGCGTGTGCCCTGACTGGGAATAGAACCAGCGACCCTTAGGTTCGCAGGACAGCGCTCAATCCACTGAGCCACACCAGCCAGGGCAAAAAGTTCTTGTTTTTAATGTACTTGTTGAAAACATTGGTCTTGTTTTAAGCATTCAATTCTATTAATTTTAGTCTTTGAGATGAAATTGTTAAATGTTAACATTTTAACAATAAACTATTAATAGAGGGCTGAGATCTAAAATTAACTATTTAATTTTAGATCTCAGCCTTCTACTGAGAGTAAGGGAAACAAAAATTAAAGAGTCAATTTGTATTCTTAATTATTCTCTGACTTTAGCAAAATATGGATTAGCGTACTTAGTAACACTTCATTCCACTACATCATGGCCCCACTGAGCATGTGTGGGCACATCCCCCCCAAAGATTTGTCTTTTCCAATGTTAAGAACACATTTACAAACATTTACTCACTCATCTGCCAAATCTGACTGCAGAGTTTTAAGAAGAGATGACTTTAATGTAAATTCTTATTCAGGAAGGAACTTGGGTTGCAGCTAATGACAAAATTCAATTCAAGTTTACAAGTGCAGAAAAACTCCACACACAGGTAACTTTCCATACTATATCTGCCAAAATCAGGGAAATGTTTAAATGTTTGAAAGGTAGCTGCCTCCTCCCATTAATTAGTGAGAAAACATATAGGGATAGTTGATGTGAATACAGTGTCTTGCCATTGTAAGATGTGTGCCCATTATTTTCAGGATAGAAAAACAGTAAACTAAGCACAGTTTCTTGGCTGTGAGAGTATAATGTTATTTTGAGGTGTTATTGATGACATGGCACTTGCGTGAGTGAAGCGAACTTGCTGGTGCAACTCATCTCCTTGGATGATGACGAACACTGCCCTGAGGTGTCTAAGAATCTCTGGTGCACATTTCTATCTTTATTTTGCACTCAAAAGGAGCACACCCGACGGCTGATGAGTCCCACAGTCTTGGATCAAAGGAACTTGGAAACAACCCCTGAACCGTTCCGTTTGCAGGTGAGGAGGTCATTTGTTCCGTGACTTCCGCACACAGTAGCACTCAAACCCCCCCGTGCTGTGATATCCCATCCTACACTTCTCGCACTCGTTAGGGAGAGGGCTCTCTGTGCAAAAAGGACCTCGTTGTTTCTTCTGCTTCTTACTCTTTCGGCTTTTAAATCCCTGGCCTCGTGGACCCTGAACTCCTGCTTCCTTTGATCTGAAAGTGCCTCTGTAGCCAGGCCTCCATGCGGCTCCCTGACCTTCATTTATTTGTGCTTACCATGGTGTCGGCTGCCAGCGGGCCCCACTGAGCACCTACACCGTGACCTCCTCTAGGCAGGGCGCCCGCCAGAAGACTCGGGGCCCCGGTCTGCCCTCCTCTCCCTGGCTGGTCCTCATGCTGCCGCCGTGTAGAAGGAACTCATTTCAAAAGCTAGGAAAGTTACAAATTTACCTGCCAGTAAACAGAAGATGGTTTATCAACAGACTTTACCTTAATGACTACAAATGTTTACCTCCTGCTTTCCAGAATGCAAAGAAAATCTTGGAAATGTCATAATATCTTACAAACATTTGCAAAACAGATCCTTGTTCATCCGGAAAGGAAACAATTGTATTCGTTGTCTCTTGACACAAGGAAAGTGTTTAGTGAGAAACATACAGATAGATGTACACACTTACATGTAAATGAGGTATTTTAATTAAAAATGGCAGAGGGCACTTTATTAAAAATTTATTTTACAATCTAACCATTCAAAACCTCTTTACATCCACAAATACAGCAGCTTGACTATTAGAATGTAAGTGATTTGTCTCAAAAAATGTTGTATTTGTAGCTGAATCCAAATATTTTCAAGAAATATTTATATCAAAAATACTGGTTTTTGTTAGAAGTATTTTTATTTCTCTATTTTTACCCATGAAAAAAACTAAAACAAGGATCTCAGTGTTCATTTTATGGATAAGGTGGCCCCACTCATGGTATTTCCCATGTTTGTTCAAATTACAGCTGTTTATCTTACAACTTTCTTGAAGATAAATTAAATGCAAATGTAACTCTGTGAATCATGGGAATACCTGCCAGACCCCTTATTAATACCTTCACTTACAAATGCCCGTGCCAGAGAGTCATTAATTTGCTAAAAGGAAAGTGCTAAAGCAGCCCTTCGCCACAAACAGCTCTGAGATGGCTGCCCAGTTAGTCCCACGGCGTTCCTCCGACCCTCCTGTCAGACTCTGTGGCCCTCTGAGGGCACAAGAAGGCTCCGGTGATAACCTGGCAGCCCAGGTAGAAACGCAGCCAAGTGTGAGTGTTTGAAGCTGCAGTTTGGCTGCCATCATGTCGGCAAAGAGAAAGAATTCAGGCACCATGTCATCCAGTACAAAGGATAAAAACGGATTCCACCGGAAATTCAATGTGGCACCACATATGGGATACATGAGTGCGGTTATACAACAGGCCACATATTTTTTTTGAACAGTCTCCTCCATGTGATGCCGAGGACATGTGTAACCATCATAACGTCTCTAGGAATCTGTATTTAATTTGAGTTGGGGTGGTGGCAGGGATTGGAGATCTGAAGCCGCCACAGGTTTGTGGCAGATGGCTCTGTGTCAGCTATGACAAGCAGCCAGGCTCAGCTTCCTCTGCAGATTTTCTGTTCTCTCTGATCAGGTAAATATGGGCACACTCTGGAAAGTTCTACAGATTCTGCCTTAGGCTGCAAGTTTGTGACTTAGCCCCATCTGTCACAAATCTTCCCTTGGTTCTGTTGTAAGCAGAGACCTGAATTTACCATGTAGGGCTGCCCAAGAAAAAGGATTCATGTCACCCTGTAAGGAAGGGAGAGAAGAGAAAGCAATGAAGAAGCATTAACGACTGAAAGGCTCAAGTGTGCTGACAATTCATACTGCAAATCTGCATAACTGACATCACTTCGATTTCAAAAAGCCACCAAGTAAATGGTTCTCGAGTTTTATCACCCTGGGAAATCCCAGTTTCTCATTGGTTTCACGTATAACTATTTTCAACCACAGGGGAAAGCTCCAGTTTTTTGTTTGTTGTTTGTTTTTTCTTTTGTTTTTTGCAAATGGGTACTCTCTGCTGCACATCTATTTCCTCGTTTATGTTATGGATAACAGCTATTAGGAGTTGATCATCCAACTTTTAACTTTTATAAACACAAAATAGACATGTTTTTGCTAATGTGAATTTTACTTTAGGTGGTGAAGGGACGAGAGAAATGCCATTAGAATTACATGCAAGTTACAAAGCTCTTCAAGTTTACTAACGGGTTTATTCTCATTATTTCATTACAGCTATACCTCAGGGGGGAAATGCTATTAAGAATTAAGAAAAAAAAAGTCTTCCAAGTTTACAGATGAATCATAGAGAGGTTAAGAAGTTCACCTGGAGCTAATCTGCAAGTGAGCAGCAGAGAAGGACAAAAAGTCCAAGTCCCTAACTGATCTGAATCGCCCAAAGTATATCTCTTGTGCTACAGAATTTGCAGTTTTGTTTTACTTAGGCAAATCAAAGGAAAACCAATACAAATAAAATCAAAGAAGGACGTGAAGTATGAGAGAAGGAAGAGGATGGAGGAGGAGGGAGGGAGGGAGACTGAGAATTTGCCTTAAATTGTGCTGGTACTGTTGAGAGAGTTTAGAAGTCCTAAAAATGTCACAAGCTTTTAAGTTTTCATTTTTAAGAAAAATGTAATGACTTTGGAGGGCTGTTAATATTAATGAGCAAGGCTTTGTTCACATGTAGAGTATAAGCTCACACTAAGAGGGGACTATAAAGTGCCCAGTCTCTTGAAGGAAACTTAAAATGCCTTGGTTATGGTTCGGGTGGATATGGTTGATACAATTAAGACAGCCACAAATAACTTTTCTGGGCACCGAGTCTGAATGATAAGCTTAATTATTGTTTGGATTCACTTTTAGGCAGAAATTGGAAATTCTCTTTTCCAAATAACAGCAGGTTACAAAAATTTCTAGAATGTTAAAGAACTTGAAGAGGACAAAATAAAAATCAACAGCTGTCATCCGAAAAATCTTAAGAAACTACAGGTCACTTTTGTAAGGCACAAGAAAAAATGACACCTCTTCCCCCACCCCCACCCCTCAAAATACTGCTCAATTTGTAAACAAAAGTAATGAGAGCTAGGACAGGTATAAAAAAGGAACACACTTCAGTCTGGGAAGTACCTACTTATACTGCCCTAGTTGTACTCTTTTGCTATTTTCAATACTGGTAACAAGGGAATATGCAGACATTGTTTTTGGTAAAGCATTTTAAAACATAATGATCAGAAGTTCTCTAAAAATATAGAGTACTGATTTAAAATCACTGTTGGGGATTGCTGAGAATTCAGGAAGTGATTTCTCATAGTAAAAGTAAGGCAAACATATGTACAACTTCATGGCAGTAAACTTGCTTGGTTATAAAATGAAGAACGGTCGTTAGTGTCAGAAGTCCACCCTTGCCTAACTAGTTTAAAATCACTTCTAGAACCCTGTGCTCAAGTAAGGCTTGGGAGTCATAAAGAGCTCCCGTCTTGTTTACGTGACAAGTACGTGGCTGAAGTGTCTCACCTACTCAGAAAAAAATGAAACGTCCTAAAAGTACCAGAAAGCTGCAGTCAACGACGAAACTAGGATGTAAACTTTTAAAGAAATAGTTTTAGTTTTGTAAAATTTAAAAACTAATGAAGAAACATTTAATTTCTGCATGCACTGGATTTCTCTTAAGGAAAATGTGAGACCCAGAGAGGGCGTGGGGAGAGAACACTGCATGAACATGAGGAATTTCAACATTTCAAGTCTGAAACCATTTCAGGTGAGAAGTTTTGGGCAGAGTGTTTGTAGTAGAAAGAGTCACTTTAAGAAAAAAAAAAAGTATCAGATTCTGTTTCTGCTTTTCAGTTACTAGCATTCTGTTTCAAATCCTGCTTCAAGTTATAGCCCCCAAACTCTCACTCATATTGAAATTATAATGTCTCATGTGAGAAGAAAGCCAAGTGTTAGTCGCCTTATTCTAGTCATTACATTTCTAAGTGTGAATCCGTAAGAAAAATCCTATCCTAAAGTGAACTCTATAGGATAAGCCGTTGAGATGATTTTAACATGTAAACTTTTAACCAAAAAAAAAAAGAGTAAGGTGTAAAAATGTAAAAGGAGCAAATAAAAAAATTCAGTGACATTCTATCCTTTCAGATCTTAGAAGCATATGTTTTATAAAAGCAAAGCAGCACTGTCCTGCGGAACGAATCTAATGAAAAAACCCCAACATTCTCCTCACAGTCCACACGAAAGGCTCTTCCACTGCATAAGAAAAATAGGTCAAAAGACACCTCGGGGGAAATAATTCTCTGATATTTAGTGAAGGCAAATGTTACCTGAAAAATGTGTATATTCACAAAACAGAAGTGAAAAAAATATCATAACTTATTATGTCTTCATTATAAAGTTTTCAAAGGCATTCTTTCTGTCTTTTGGCTCTAAACCCTGTTACAACAACCAAACTAAATCTGTGGGACTTTCTGTCCTTTTTCCAGTTTTGCTTAACAACTGCATCCTCAAGCTCTTAATTACTTATAATCCTTGGACCAATTTATTAATTTTTGAGAGTAATTTTTAGATAAATATCAAGTTCTGTGAATGAGAACATATATGAAAATGCATAATGATTTATAAGAAAAAACCCATGGTAGAAAAAAACCCAAAATTAAACTATACATATAAATTCTTGTAAATGCTTATGCATGAACTAGTGATTTATAAATTTTGAGATGGAGCATTTTAGTATGTACAGACTAAACACATATGTAAAAAGTAGTAACGTGGAGTAACATTTAAGGTATATGTTCTCTCTTAAACTGTCTGAGGAACAACTTGCTACGTTAACAGCATACCACTAAGCTGACATTCTTTCAGAGTTTTTCCAGAAGTTGTTTGAAAGTTAAATAATTACAGCTATGTTATGGCAGTAGCTGTACTAAATATTTCATCTGGAGATCTGTTTCCTTTTGTAACTAAAACCAACTTGTTGCAATAACTTTTGCAATGGTTAAAAATCTGCAGATGCAAAATAAGAGGGTTAATAAGGCCTAACTTGAAGCAAAGTTAAAAACTGATAGATTCTGGTGGTGGATACAGAATTATCAGCACTTCACCATTCTCATCACAGAAAAAAAATATTTCTTTTTTTCTATCTATATGAGGTGATGGATGATAAAAACTGACAGTGGTAATCACTTCACAGTATATAAGTCATCATGCTATATACCTGAAACAATGCTGTATATCAATTATATCTCAATAAATGTAAAAAAAATCACCAGAAGAGGAAAAAAAATCAATAATCTGATGGTGAACTCACTGTAAATAGCTTGGTGTCATATATAGAAAGTGAATCCATTTGTATTAATACTTATTATTCTATTTTTTCAATTTTTATAATCTGCACATTTTGATAGTCTGTCACATGGGAAACAGCTTTATTCATATTTCATACAAAGAAGACCACCACTGAACTTGAAAAATTAGGAGATCTGGACGTAAACCTGGGAAGACGGTTTTCCCTGTGAAGCCTCCCACGTACACGATCCAACTGCATCGACTCAAGGAACGACAGTGGAGCTGGAACTGTTCAGTCAGCATTTTAAACTATTATGAGCTACCTTCTGAACCATTGCCAAGTTAATAGACAATGAAAGATAATGAGCTTGAAATTGGGTGTTAAATTGCATTTTTGGTTCTCTCCCTTCTTCCTGAAGTTTAACTGTTTCCTGCAGAAACCAAGTCCTGTTTTGATGTATCACTATTTATATGTGTGTTTTAGGCCACAAAAGGGAGAGGAGAGATACAAGGAGGCAGACTGCAGTTTATGGAGGGAGGTTACATATTAACATAGGACATTAAAATATGCTGGATTATAAAACTGCTAGATTATCAACTGTACTGAATGTATGGAAAACGAAGATGCTGCATTCAAAGAGTATTAAAAAAAAGTATATTACTCATGGCCTAGAGCCACCTTCAAAACTCATAAAGCAGATTTATCCCAGTTCAATTACTTAGACATTTAGTAAGGCCTCTTTGTGTTGTTATTTCAACAGTGTAAAATTCTCGATTCAAACAAGGGGAAAAAGATAATGAATAAAGGCACCGAATGATGATGCTATTTAAATTATGTCCCTTTTGCCTTTGCCATTCAGGGAGGAGACTGACAGTCTCAACCAAAACAGACTGAGGAGTTCCCGTGTCATTTTATTAATCTAGGCAAGGGAAACATTGGATTCTTGAAAATCACCTTTAAGATAGCAAGAAAATGAATACTAAACTTCACTAATGTCATTCACCTGAATTTTTGAGGATTGAAGATTTCACTATGATGGGAAGAAAGGCTTATATCCTCATTAGTCTAATTGTAGAATCTTTCCTTTAGTTCCTTTTAAACTAATGAGTTACATTAATCCAGATTCATTTTTATAAGCCTCTCGGGGCTAAATGTAAAGGACAGTCATCTTAGAAAACAATAAATTAAAAAAAAGCATGTACCGTGCATTAAGTGCACGCATTTCATAAGACCTCGGTTAATACAACTGGCATCCAGTTTAATTAATCCTTGTTAGTGTAACAACTAATATCCCTCCCTAGCATGTTTCCCTTAAACATTAGTATGTTAATTAAATGTTTTTTTTGAGATTTTTTTCTTCGTACTTCAATATGGCATTTATACTGTCTAAATCTCTTCTCAATGACTACCTTATAGAGATGTTTCCTTATAATATCAGGTCTCTTGCAGAAATTCTGGAGCCTCTTTGAAAGCTGTTCAGGTGTAGAATACAGATATTCAGCTGCAGGAAAAACAGATACATTTTTAATGAAACAAAAACCTCAAAGCACACACTCGATATTAGTCACTTTACTAATTAAAAATGCATATTGCTCTGTGCCGCCTCGTGTTTTACATTATTTAAGCATGATTTTATAAGGTTACCTCAGCTCACAAGGATGTTTAATGCTAAATAAGACTGTGTAGTTTTGCTGTTTAGACATCTCCTTTGGGTGATTAAAATACATTATTCTAACGTAACACGATGCATATGTGATATATTTAGTGATGAGATTCTTTTCAAAGAACTGGTACTATTGCCGTATGTACCCCGTACAACACTTGCATATTATTAACTAGTCAATTGTTTAAATAATTTGGTGTGACTTTCAGTCCTCGATTTTTCTCTTTGTATATCACTAAAAAAATCTGTAAGCAATTGCAGCAACACTGACCTACTTATAAAAATCCATCATTATGGGATGTGTATGCTAACAATGAAGAATGCTATTTGAAAACTTGCTTTTTTGTTATCTTAAAAGAACAGATGGTAAATATAAGCTTACTCTAATGTATTAAAACATAAAATTTTCCTTAACACTAACATGTTGACTTGCCAAATAAACAATTGCTCCCGCCTAAGTTTATTTTCAAACTTTCTCATTTAGCATGAATCATGTATTAAATCTCAACAAAGATGAAAGTACATTAAAGCCGCTACCTGGAAATATTTCGGGATAAACCAAGTCTCTGGGACAAAGTGGGTAACAACCACAATACACAGCTTCCAACCTGAAGAGATTTTAGAGAGAAGATGAAGATGTGTTAGGAGGAGGACATTGCTGTCAGAGCCAGAAGCAGTTTTGTTTGTCTGAGTTCACAGTCTGAGCCCAGAGTTAACTGGGACGATGAACGTGGTCGGCAGTGCGAGCCTAAAAGCCAAAGTTGCTCTTTTAAAAGATTTTATTGATCATATATGAATTTCATAGAACAGAACCAACAGCATATGTTTTGTTCACTGAATTAATCAACGCACAGCTCTGCATTTTTTTTGTTTTTAAAATGCTGTTTAACACATTTTATAATCAGCAGATAAACACATGTAACAACATGGTAAAGTATGGACAGCTTTTCTTAATAATGCTGCAAAGCCCCAGAATGTTCGGTTTTCAAAAATGTTTAAATAAAATAGCAAATACTTAACTTTAACACCGTAGCTGTAGAAATGATAGAGGCACTTTTAAAAGCATCAGAAAAAATTTACAATCTGTTGTGTTGGGGCATTTTCATTTTTCAGCTTGTGCTTCCAAATGACTTATTATGTAGGATGTAAAACTATTCCCCCATTTACTGAAAAAATGCTTGTGAAGGTTACCTTAAGGAACATTTTGCTTTCTTGACTAGTAATTCAGCTCTTTTTGCCTTTTATCAGAAAAGACTACTTTTGCTATTAAACGAAGAAACACGAAAGTTTCACTTTGTCAAAGAAACATGAAAGTTTCACTTTGTCAAAGGCCTTCCCCAAGGACCCCCCACAGGAAGTTTTTCCTCACGTCACAGTAGTGAGGGTGATGCAGAGGGCGGGCATTGCATCCTGATGGCTGCGCTAGCCCACACTGCGGCTACAGGTCTGACATAAGAGACCTTAAAGACACCACTGTCATTTCTGCTGGCCAGGAATTACGCGGTGAAATTCAAAACACTTCTTAAATGTTTATTTTATGAGAAACTTTGAGTTGCATCCAAAATGTTGACCAAAAGAAGAATTTTATTTTGAACTGCATATTTTTGTCAACCCAAGAATAATTTGAAGTTATGTCAATGTTTACCTTGTTTACTGACAGTGACAAAGTACATGTAATTTAACCTGTATTTTTTTTTGTAATTTAAGTGTTTTTAGGCAGGTGTTGTGTTCCCTATTTTATTGTTAACTGAAACTAGTTTCAGTGAAAAAAAGTATTTACTCTAGGCTGCAAAGTTTAGAAAAAATACTGAGCTCAAAGTTTTGCTTGAGAACTGAGAGAAGGTACAAAATAACACAGTGGAAAGGTACAGGACCTACTTACCAAGGATTCATTTCAAAATCCAAACTAATATCTAACAATCTGTTCTTTGTGCACACAGAGAACACACAGAACTTCTGATTGGAAGCATAGCTATCAACTGCTCTGTGACTGCGTTACAAAACACAAAAGTTTTGAGGACGTACACCAGAGATATTCTTCATGAAGGAAAAGAAAATATGCACTTATCTGAAGACACTCGGTTTTAAAATGCAGTGCCAGTCCAAAAGCAAATACACACGAACATTCTCTTATAATTACTTAAAATCAAAAGAGTGAAGTCACAGGCATTTCAGAAAGTGCACATGTTATCTGCTTTTTAATAATGGATTTGAAGCAGAGTGTGCTGTTCCCCGAAAGAGAGCTGCAGGCCAAGTCGCACGTTGAGTCATCGCGCGAGCACGCAC